GAGAGAGAGAGAGAGAGAGAGAGAGAGAGAGAGAGCAAATGGATATATAAATTTAAAAAATTACAAAAATAGTTATTAGATATTTCATGCAATCGTAAAATTATTGAGCAAATTTGTCATTTGTTCATATTATTGTGTGAAGGTATATTTTCTCGCTCTCAATACGAGACGGTGACATAACCGTGACGCTTCCTGCTAATTTTTTATGTTAATAAAATAATATCAATATTATTTTAAACAATAAACTTTCACATTTACATTAATTACAAATATTATATTAAAGAAAATCCCATTTATAAGTGCACTAAATATATATATTTCATTTGGGTAATTAATTAATGAATTTTATGAAATAAAAAAATATATAAACATATTCTATAGACTATTACTTAAAGTCAAAATCCATTGATGGATATCTTAAACCTTTTGTGGAGTGTCTATAAATAGAGCACATTTGTGCAAGAATCTAACATAACTCACATTACACAAAGAATCTAAATACCTAAGCCAAAGGAATCCAAATTATTCCTACTCACTTAGCCATATAATTCAATCATCTTCTCCTTTTTCCAAATTTAACAAGAATTATTATGGCTGAAATTTTTTCCGGCGAAAACGGCGATCATGTTGTGAGAATACAAGATGATAATATGAATAACAATGGTGGTGATTCTTGTTGCTTCCTCACTCTACCCTTTATACAAAAGGTAATAATTAATTTAATTTATCCCAACCGAACCGTGTAATTCGGTGCGGTTCGATTGGTTTTTTTAATTTGCTAACGCACTCGAATTCTTGATTTATTTATTTATTTTAATTAAATAAAAATAATAATGAATAATCATGCAGTTAATAGCTGAGGCTATTGGGACATTTTTCTTGATATTCGCCGGATGTGCAGCCGGCGTGGTGGACGCCGACAAAGAGAAGGCGATTACTCACGCCGGCGTTGCCGTCGTGTGGGGCCTCGTCTTAATGGTCATGATTTACTCCGTCGGACATATTTCCGGCGCACACTTTAACCCCTCAGTCACTATCGCCTTCGCCACGTGTGGCAGATTCCCATGGAAACAGGTGCTCTTTTTTTTTTCTTAATTAATTAAGTTTTAATTTCATTAACTTAGGTTTTGCTTTTACTTATTCATAATTACACTTTTATATTCTAGCTAACTACTTATTATTTTACAAAAAAAATTAAAATAATATGCTTTTGAAACTTACATCTCAGTCAAAAGTATTTTTACATTAATTATAAGACACTGAATATTAGTAATTATTAATTTTACCATATGGTTAATGGCACACTAATTTTATTTATTTATTTATTTATTTTGACTTCAGGTACCAGCGTATGCCGGAGCTCAGATCTTGGGAGCAACCCTAGCAAGCGGGACCCTACGATTATTGTTCAGTGGGCCCCAGGACCAATTTGCTGGGACCCTTCCGTCGGGTGCCAACATGCAGTCGCTCGCGCTCGAATTCATCATCACTTTTCTTCTCATGTTCGTCATATCCGGCGTCGCCACAGACAACCGAGCTGTAATCGAGCCGAAACCCCTTTACTATACGTACCAAATCAAAATCCAAATTGTTTTAATTGAATTGAATTAATTAATTAATTAGGGCTTTATTTTTTTATTTGGTTCAGATTGGAGAACTTGCTGGCTTAGCCATTGGGTCCACCCTTTTGATTAACGTGATGCTTGCTGGGTATGTTTATGTTACATATGCGGGAGATGTTATGGTCTCATTACAGAATTATTTCGTCGAGATTTGTAATTGTTAGATTAACTATCTCCGACGATTACATGATGATTTAACGGTTACAAATCTCGAGGTTATGGTTTCATAACGGTTCATAACATTTCCCTACATATAATAATCTTCATATAAATAATCTAACATTTTTGTGGGTATTGTGCAACAGGCCCATTTCAGGAGCATCGATGAACCCAGCAAGGAGTTTGGGCCCAGCTATTGCAGCGAGCAACTATAAAGGAATATGGATCTACCTATTGGGCCCAACAGCCGGGGCCATAGCTGGGGCCTGGGTCTACAACATCATCAGATTTACGGATAAGCCCCTGCGTGAGCTTACAAAACCCGGTTCATTTCTCAAGAGCTCATCTCGGGTCGGCTCGAAGTGAGATTTGTACCGAGTAATTAGTGGTGTTAGTGTGTACCCCTTTTAACTTGCGAATTACAGTGAAAGAAGAAATGAATGCTATACAAATGATATAATCAAATGTACCCTTAAGTATGAAAATGAAATCATTAATTGTCCCTGCAGTTTAAATCTAGTTAGATAGTTTTGTTGGATTACACCAAAACTCTTCTTCTGTAGTAAGCTCGACTTGGGTTAACCCGAGTTTGATCAAACAAGTTGAAATCGATCTTGTTTATTTGACTCGACTCGATCCTTAATGCTTGTTAGGCTCGAATATATAGATTCTTGCGTAATTTCCATTTAACTCTAAGCTTAACTCAGCTCGCTAAGACTCGAATTCAATTCGTTCAGAATCAATTTCGCTCGTTAATATGGATAAATGAACTGAACTCAAACACGTTTATCAGTATCACTTGATTATAGAGTCGAGGTTCGAGCTTAATTAGGCTTGAATATATAGATTCTTACGTAATTTCTTTTTAACTCGGCTCGTTAAGGCTCGAATTCAATTTGTTAAGACTCAATTTCGTTCGTTAATATGGATAATTAATAATGCATTGTAAAACACATGAAGCCAAACTTGGTACAATTATGGCAAGGAAAATATAGAAAACTTCACGGGCGGTCATTGCTCCATGAATCATGCGCATCAATTTATTTGTTCTTATCTAAAACAGAAAAAAAAAATATATATATAAAATAAATAAATTGAAAAGCTAGTCAATTCTTTCACACGTAAACTGGCAATAAACCCGTGCGAAAAAGGTAGTAAACAAAGAATAGTACTGTCGCCCACCTCGGGTCAATCAACGGATTAGTCGGAGTCCAAATGACTAAAAAAAAAAAAAAAAATAGTATTATCAATTTTCTATATATTTTTTATTTTTATATTTTTATCTCCAAAACGATCAGTTATATATATTTTATTCAAAAATTAATTGTTTATTAGTACTATGATTGAACAGTTGAATTTCGATCGCCCACCAAAATTGTGGAGGAATTTAAGTTTGCTTTGTTTTTTTTTTTTTCTTATGAACAATTATTATAAACAAATATTGGTTAACTTACCAATAATTACTTTAATATTGGTTAACTTACCAATTAATTACTCGATCGATCTCAATTGAGTGAGCTTAAGATAATCTGGTTGTCGGTTCTTGCTCACCCATCAAACTCATCTATCTATATAGTTCATACTCGAGAGCTGACCTAATTAACTACAACTTAAACTACCAAGTTCTTACTAGCATTGAAGTCGCATTTTGACTCGATCAAAACCATTAACAGTCAATAAAAGTCGCATTTTGACTCGATCAAAACCATTAACAATCAATAAATTTGGGTAAAGTATGGAGCATCAAGGGCATGCTAATATTGGCCATTTTCCATATAATTAAAATTCGGAATTTAAATTTTATTGGCAAAGTTAACAAAGTACGTACCAATTTGCATTTTTCAAAATTGAATGCCCCATTACGTGCTGATAAGTTTTTATTGGCCTTTCTACATTTTCCGGTGGGTTGTTGTGTGTTAAATTATCCATAAATGCAATCTTTTTTATTTTTATTTTATTTTTTTTTTTTAATTCAGAGTCTCATATATTAAAAGCGTCACACTTCCCAACGATATCTCCAATGAGAACACAATAATTCTTTAATCTAGACATGGCCACGGGCCAATCCGGCCCACCTTCCGGTCCCAACCCGGCCCGCAACTGTCCCATAGGTTGCTGGTTCTCCGCCCTTTACGGGTTGTTTCCCAGTCCATTTTTTCTTGTTTTGTCCCGACGGTCCGGAACAGGGCCGGTTTCACGGACCAAGCCCTTAATTTTTGACGGACCGGTTAATGGTCACTCATAAGAGGCCCGCCACTCCGGCCGGTTGACTGGCCATGTCTACTTTAATGTTTGCATCTCAATATAAAATAATAATAATAATGATAAAATAATTTCGGACTCCGTCAAACCCGCTGATTGACCCACCAAAAGTGGGTATATAAATTTGGTACACATTAGTACAATTTTTTTTTGCTTATAACTCAATTGCAATTTTGCATATATACAATGAAACAAAAAGAGTCATAATTTTTCTTTACAATCATACCCGCTTTTATTGGTCTTGATTATGGGTGATAATTTATCAGGAGCAAACAGGATTAATAATGGTGTGACAGTAAGAATACAAGATGACGATGATGAGTCAAGTGATAAGAGGAGCTCTGACTCAGGGTGTTGCCTTCTCACAGTGCCCTTTATTCAAAAGGTACAATTATTTAATTAATTAAACTTTACTAATCTATTTTTTTTCATTTTATTTATTTCTTTATGTATGTTAACAAATTTAATTTAATTTAATTGTAGATAATAGCGGAGACACTTGGGACGTATTTCTTGATATTCGCCGGATGCGCGGCGGTGATTGTGAACGCCGACAAGGAGAGGGTGGTGACTTTGCCGGGAATATCGATAGTGTGGGGATTGGTGGTGATGGTGATGGTCTACGCCGTCGGACATATCTCCGGCGCCCATTTCAACCCCGC